GCATGTACTAGTCGGCCGTTATTTGTAGAGCGAATCCTATGATTATTTGAATGTGTTAGCGCACAGGTGATGATATGTTTGAGATTTTTTAGATAGTTTTTTAAACACCTTGGTCGTGTCATACACAAGAAGTACTTTGCATACTTTTTTCCGCAGCTCCTTAGTCAGTTGAAGTTCGGTGTGCAGTACAATGTGGTAATGTAAGAACGTTTTCGACAATGAGGTTAACAATATAGCGCGTCGGGATGTCAAAACTGAAATATATTCTGAAATGAGTTTTGCATTTTTTTTTTCCAAGAGCACAACCGGTATCGATGAAACGCTCTCTCGGTTTTCATGCGTTTAGCAAGCGGTCGATGTAGACCATCCATAGAAATCGCTTCTCCCAGTCACCTCTCCTGGACAGAAAGAAAATTCCACCCAACAGCTCGTCCACGCTCAGGACATGATATATTCTTGTGAGGTCGGTGTGGACTGTTCCTGCGCTAGACAGGATGAGGATGAGTCTTCCCTGTAAAATCTAATACTTAATCTACTATACAAGAAATCAGTATTTGCTTTATTGCTGGGCGAAACTACCCTCATGTGATAAGTAAGGATAATCGGCATTTAATATCCTGAAATGTATTTTATAATTTAAAATGATAACATTTAACTAGAACAACAAAGGCAATAATATGCTTTTCGCTTGTGTGCAATGACGACTGAGTGTTACTGTGGTACTACTGCTCCTTATTCTGAGACGTATTTTTATCATATAAAGACATTAAGCTTGTTCCACATTGATAATATGTCAGTACAGCTCCAGCACACGAGTTTCTCTTCTGCTGGCCCGGAGACACTGTTATAATCCCGTACAGAGCCCGCATCACAACTACAGAGCAGTCTGTGAGATGGTATCACACTGCAAAGCCCGCAGAACCATTCACACTAGAGACCAACAAGGGTCTGAGAGCCACTCAGATCCACACAGCGAGACAGGCTGGAGCTCTTTGTTAGTATTCTACGCATTAATCCATGTTGAACGAAGGTGAATCGTTCAATTTCAAATATGTAGTTATTTTGCTTTTCATTCGAGCACTATCATGAAGTAGGTGTGCCACTGTGTGAGAAGTTGGCAAGCGTGCCCTTGCTGTGAGCGCGAATATGGTGTGACTGTTTCTCCTCTTGATATTTTGCTAGTTGACTCATCGGTGTTTATCACATTAGCAATAAGCTAATGCAATAATTTCTCGAGCTGCTGAACCAGAGCGCTTCACATGTGACCATTGTTGCTCTGCAAATGGAATCATTTTTACACAGTAAACTGGATGTGTCGGCTTTCAATGGCAGTACAACGCACTGAAAGTATTTGCAGGCTGATAATTTCCTCTTTTGTCCCTTAAATTATGTTTAATATTTTCTCTGACGCAGCTCTGGAATTCAATGAAAGGGTCACAGAGGGTTACTAAACTTGCATTTGCTCTTTGGTGCTTTACGCCTTCCTACACCAAACTCAAGACAGAGCCCAGCTGTCACAGGAAGATGCTGTCAGATAAAGGAATAAAATAAACGAGTAGTGAAAGACAGAAGGGAATTTGGTACTGCATGGTGCAGTGTCCTGCTTTTATAATGACACTAGACCCTGAGATAGATGGTGAAATGAAGGATTGAAAATCGAGGTCGCCCAATTCTTCCCAGCGTGCTCTGAGTTGCAAGGATCAGAGAAAATCCACCCAGATATCAATGTTCTCACCGCTCGATCCGATTCAGGGCCTCAGGGGCGCTGGAGCCTATCCTGGCAAGCAATGAGCACGGAGCAGGATACACCCTGGACGGGACACCAGTCCATCTTAGGGCACACACAGACACGGACACAGTCACGCGCACCAGGGCCAACTCACCGACTAGGATGTCTTTGGTCTGTCAGAGGAAACCCACATGAACACAGGGGGAACGTGCGAACTCCACACACATAGCTCCCCAGGTCCCAGACTGAATGCAGGCTCCCAGGGCTCTGAGGCAGCACCGCTAACCACTGCACCGCCATCCTGCCCTGTTGGAGGAAACGTGCGACGAAATTCATTCGAAAGAGAGAGGTGCCAGCTCTGCGTAGGGCTGCCTTCTTTTTTTCGGAAATGTGTCAATGGAGGAGTGCTGAGCTCTTCAGCCGTCTGCGGAGAGAACGTGTCTTTTCCACTGGGTCACAGTGACTCACAGAACTGCTGGGCGAGTCGGGGGCTCCTCCAAGTCTCTTCCCCGCCAGAACAACCGGGGCTCTTTCTGTTACGCTTTCTACAGATTAAACACTGCTCCTTTCAACCTGTTCTTCAAAAGCGATTCCGCCAAAGGTAGGTCACTTCTTTCAACCTCTAATGCAGATTCTGTGGGTTTATTCTCCTTGGCTTTTTAAAAAATAGTTTAATATACAGTATGATGTTCATCAATCAATCATTCAAATTGTATTGATCAAGTGCACAACAACACAGCATGCAGCAGTAATTGCTGGCAATGAAATGTCTTTTCTACGAGCTCACTGAGCCTTCACATAATCCATATTGATCATACAGAATGTTAATGATTAAATAAATACACGCTTGACACTGTATATGTCCAGTTGGTGAAGCTGAAATATATTTATTCCCCGTAGATTCTCTGAAAAATGGTGAAAGGCACAAAATAAAGAGTATTGTATAAATCCTGATCAGCTAGTGACCTCACTAAATCTCAGTTTGAGGAAATTCATGTTTTTTTAGTTATTGAATAGGCTTTAATCAACTTTTGAGAGGATGAATGGGAAATTGCATTAATAATGAAAATAACTAAAAATCACAAAGCACATGAGATAGTCAAGTGTTATCTTGTAATATAAAATACAGTATTTCAAAGATACTCTCAGAAAACTGTAGTTTTAAGCACATTTCTTCTAGTCTCATACCAAAACACATGTACTGATGTGTAATATTTTCTTCTGTATTGACTATGGGAAACATAGTATAGCACGCAATGATATCGATAAAGCAAACCATGAAAACAAGTCACTTGGTCTCTTTTGTCAGGGTTGGGGATAGCAAACCTGATACATTTCGGTTTTATTTAAATATGTTTGCCGTGAAAATTCTACTAAATGGACAATAAAAACACTAATTCTAGTATAAGTCGACAAAACGCACGTGGAGAGAGGAAATCAACTCATCAGAGATCCCATCGTGTATTTTCTGCTTTTCTAAACACTTGCAAGCATGCATTGATCCGTCAGCTTTGCCTGCCGCACTTACAATGAAGTTATTTCAGCCGTTAGGACGCAAGGGTCGCGGAAAATATGTACTGTACATTTGGCAGAAACAAAGGTGTTAAAAAAAGCACAAATGGCAGGTTGTAGGTGAGTAGAGATCACAGCCCACACAGACAGCTGGTTTGCCACAGAGCGCCTTAGACCTACCCGTGCACTGACCACTACGTGAACAGCACGAACAGCAGAGCACCCCCCACGTCAAGACCCCGCCAAGTACAGACATCAACACCTTGCTAAGAGACAAAAACCACGCTGCAGCACCGCGTCACCCTTCTGTGCCGTGGCGCTGTTTCTGAGCAGCGATGTATTTCGATTGAGGGTTACCACACGTATTGTTTTGATTTCCGCTGGACTGGGATAACAGCAGACTCTCACGAAAGAGCCCCCGCTACGTGATGATAACGCTTAACTAGGTCGGTGGGACAGTGACACTTTTCGCTGTTCTGCTCCTAGCCTGTTGCATTGCATTGCTTGAAGACTGGGCTGTCGGTGTTAACGCACCTCAAGGTGGCCAGCCTGCTTAGGCTTATTGGACTTCATGAACCTGGTACGTAAATCCCTTTTTTCCGTTTTTTTGGCGGGGGTAAGATACTTTCAGAATCATGGAGTTGTTTCTTTTCCGATGTTGACTTTTGGCCCTGTCAGTGACTTCATTATTGCAGTGACAAGAACAAAAGTAAATTCATTTCTCGTTTTTCAGAATAGATTTCGGATTCCGATTCATGTTGTCGCCAGTTGAAGGCCTACCGAGATAATTAACTTTGTAATACAAGTTTAATGAAATTAACACATGGAGGCAAATAGGATAACTCACACGTATAAACACCTGTACAAGCAATTTCACGTAAAAGGGAACTAAAATGTAGCACTTTTCAATCTGTTAAAAAACTCATGAGTGTTATTTCTACGGTGCAGTAAATACAGATGCGTTAGGTTTTATTTTATAGAAGACTACAGGGCCCTTCGTTATGCGTTTTGTGGTAGTTTTGTCCACTACAGATCCTATACAATCTGTGATTGAGAGAGCTGTTAAGCCAGGTAGTCTGTGTCCTTCCCTTTTCGGAATATCTGGATGCAGTATTAGCAGTTGCAATCTGAGGACGAAATAATGATTAATGTTAATTTATCGATTTCTCTATCCTTCCCGTAGCTCTTCAGCACTGTTAATGGCCTGTCTTGACAAGCTGTCCGCGGTAGCTCTGTTACTGTTGTCTTCTCTGACGCAACTTAGAGCTACACCTGCAGGTAATTTGGTCTGTTTCTGGCCCAGTATGTAATTCTTCACAGACTTGTTAAAAAATATGTATTTGCTTGTTTTCTGTATTTTCATACAAAACCAGACGGCCACAGCACTGTCGTTTTAACGAATGTGCCCGTATACTGTATAACGCGATCTTTGTTTATAATAAGCTACAATTTTCCTTTTTCACCACAGGCTGTTTCAGTTCTGATCATTAGTCCTGTCAGTCCTGCACTTCAAAACAGAATCTGCAGATTAAGGCTGCAGGCAAAACCGAATAAACACCTACAGAATGTGTGTTAAAACACGTTTGTGTGAAAACCCATTAATTTGCTTTCAGTATCAGAACAGAATTGTGTTTGAAAAGTAACCACGAATATACTGAACGTCTTAGCTACCATTAAAGACCAATAATTTAGGAAGGACGTACAGTATATGTGCGGTCTAATCGTTTTTCTGTCTAGAAACGCATGTTCTGGTCTTGCGTTAGAAGATATGTATTTCTGTTTCCATCCTTGTTAGCCTTTTTGTCTTTTCAGAAGTTTATTGCAGTGTGCAGCCTGTTTAGAAAGCAAACTAATTTATATGAAGACTTCTGACAACGGGGGCTGTGCGTGTAATGTTTCCGCTTGTGCCCGGCTATTTACGGTCATTGTACTGCAGAACCCCCGTGGAAAAAAAGTACAACAACCCGGTTAAAAAAAGGCTTTGGGGAAAAAACACAACAGACATTGAAAATGTACGCTTGCCAGTAAATCATGGGTTTTCATTGGACATTCGTGCTTTTTTTCTTTATGTATTCCTAATACGTTTCACACAATACTTTTCAAAATCTTTTTGATTTCAATATATTTAAATAGATTTCAATTCATATCAGAACAAAAGTTGGAATTATTGAACAATATGCTATCATCCTTTCGGATAAACGTTTTGAATTTCATGTGATCTAAATTAATAATTAATTAGGGTACGCGATAAAATCACCAAAGCTATACTGTTGTTTCTCTGTATGCCAATAATTACTCTAGAGTGAAGTGTTTGGAGGTCCTTTGAACAGCTTCAATTAAAATACTTGTCTATTTCGATTAATCCTAAAACTCCACACTTTTCTTTTCAGGGATATTTTTAAGATTTCTTCATTGCAATGTTTTTTTTTTGTCGATTTTTGTAAACAGCCAAATATCTTATTTTAGAAAGAAAAGCACCGTGTTTGTATACCCACCTCAATTTTAACAGATGTGCTGGTCATACGCACTATGCACATTCTTCTGTTTTACAACTGAAATACAATTCAGTTTAAAATACCCTTTTCTTTATGTGAGTGTTTTATTTTCCACAGTAAGACGGGTGTACGCCTGGGTAGGGGACAGTGTCTTACTGCCCTGTGTGGATCGAGGGATGAAAAAGCTGGAGACCTATAGCTGGTATTACAAGAAGACTTCAGGTCCAGGGGGCATTCTGCTGGTCAGTGTTGAGAGATCCGGGACGCCTCGCTACACGCAATCGCGTCATTGGGTCAGGAAGAAGATTCAACTCAACAACCTTTCCCTGCTCATCCAGGACCTGAGGGAAGCGGACGGGGGGGTTTATTCCTGCACAGGAGGGGTAGTCACTTCGCTAACTGTCTTTAAGGGTGAGTCTCCCGTTAAAGATTCAATAATGTACAAATCTGTATTGAATTGATTGTTGGGAGATGGTGATTTGCCAATGTGCTTCGCGTGTAGCCTTGATTGGTCATTCTGAAACATATTTTATCGCGTGATGGGATTAAGTTAATTTCACAGCGATGATCATATGCAACCTTTCGCGTACAGTATGCGCAAGTATTACCGTGTCACTATAGCTCCAGCGCATGAGGTTCCCGGACAATGTCGTCCCGGACAAGCTGTTACTGTCCCGTGCTGAGCCCGTATCACGACTGTACGACAGTCTGTGAGATGGTATCGTGCTGTTGAGCCGCACAAAACGCTTCTCGCTAGAGAGAAGGCGGTAAGAGAACCACTTTGATCCACGCAGCGAGGGAGACTGGAGCTGCTGAGCAGCTCGTCTCTGATCATCACGTACTGTATACACCTGTGATTTCTGTACGACAGAGTTGGGCTGCAGCACAGTTAAAAACGTGTCTATGCGACTTTTGAGACGTATCTATGAGGATGGGTTTGGTCCAATACGCCTTTACGGTGTATCTACTAAAATCCTTGTATCGCCACAATATAATTGTGCCTTCAGTGTCTGAAATGCAGAGCAGTTGGCTTGTGTCCAGATTTCAAGACTGTTATATTATTCTTCTGCAAAACATTATGGTTTATTTAAAGATTGTCTGCAAGTCACAGCACAACTCACAACAGCTCTGCTTCTTTCTTCACAGTTACGGTGAATGTAGCCCATCAGTCCTTCTTCATCTTTGTGGCAGTCAGGCTAACTTCATGACTGGTATTATGCCTGTAAAAACACACAGGGACAGTAGCTTCAGTTTCCACCAAGGCTGCTTTCAGTGTGATTTCAGCAGGGATTTTGACAGATTTAATATGAAAAAAAAAAAGGTTGTTGTCTTGTATTCTACATCCTGGCTTCTCCGTCTTTCAGACCTGCCTCCAGTCAGAAAGAAGCTGTATGTTGCTGCAGGCGACTCTATTGCAGAACCTTGCTCTGGAGTTCCGAAAACAGGTGGACGCACATCACCAGTGCAGTGGTCTTTCCAGGGTATTGGAGACCAGAACCCCCTGTTCCTCAACAGTTATTCCCCTTCTGGGGGGACAGACCTGAACCCAGAAAGGCTCACCCTGCTGCCCAACGCCTCCGTTCTGATCCGGGACATCCTGAGAACACATGCTGGGGACTACACTTGCTGGATAGATGACCAGAACGGCCACAGAAAGAGACTTGTCACTCTCACTGTGTGCGTGTTGACAGGTAACAGTCTAGGTGTAGGTATAATCGCTCATTAAATGGACATGATGCCAGCAGCCCTGTCACCCTGCAACTCACCCCTGGCAGCCCATTAAAGCTCAGCAGGTGTGAAGTCAGTACCTGGATGAGAGAGCTCCTGGGAAAATTATAATTATTATAATAATAATATTATGGTGGAGGGGAGTCCCTATTACCTGTAAAGCACTTTGAGTGGATTGTCCAGAAAAGCGCTTTATAAGTGTAAGCAATTATTATTATTATTATTATTATTATTATTATTATTATTATTATTATAAGGTGTGTTTATTTCATTGTATGGCACTCACAGAACCAGTAATATGATTATCACTTTAAATGGTTTATTGAAGTCAAACGTCAAGGAGTGTGCCCCATATATTCATAATTGTGATATTTTATTTTTTTACCTTTTATGACTGCTTCTTTTTCTCTCCCAACCCTGTCCCAACCTGCAAATCGGCCTCGGTCGATGTAACAAACCTTAGAGAACATGTAGAATCTAAAATACCTCATAAAGTGAAAGTCAACTGCAATAGACAGAGTGAGGGGCTTTGTATGGAGAGCTGTCACATGCTCTGTCATCCCATTGCAGTGACAGCAGACAAGGCCAGTGCAGCCCACAGCTCTCGCGCTGTCCTGAACTGCACGCTGCTGTGTGAGAGCAGTGAGGGGAGGAATGAGACCGTCCTTCTCTGGACCCACGGGAACGGGACAGATCTTGGGCCCAGTGTGGTGAACACCATCACGACCACTTCCACTGGGGTCACAGCAACACTGGAGATTCCTTCTCCACACAACACGAGTCTGAGGTGTAGTGTGAGAGTGAGAGGAGAAGACAGAGTGAGCGTGGAGCACTTCATACATGGACATGGGGTCAATAACACGGGACAGCAGCACACAGGTGAGAGCTTGGCAGTGAGAAACAACAGGGCAAACCAGTGTGAGTTAGGTTCTGATAGCACATAGTGGCATTGAAAGTCTTTAAACTGTTCTATTGCGTCATGTATCTAGTTTTTCAGAGCAAATTAGTAATAGTAATAGCAAATTAGACCATAGTTCAGCAAAATAATGACACAGTTAAAAAATAATAACACTAGGTTAACCTGACATGTGGTCACATACTAAACAGTTTTTGTCCACATCACTTGTGGATAATGCAGATTATTTCTCATTTATGCATGAAATTAAAGTGCCAGATTCGAGTATTTGTGGCATGGTTAGCGTTTCTGCCTCACAGCACTGGGGCCCTGGGCTCAGTTCCTGGGTAGAATCTCCTCGAGGGTTTCCTCTAGGTATCCAATCCAATGGATGGATTGCAGGGTCCTTTCAGTCTCTGTACATGTATAGCTGGGGAGATCACCCTGCCAGCTTTGTAGACTAAATGCAATTCAGTATTTGAGTAGAAGAGGGAGTTTCACATGAAGCCCTTAAGTAGCCCTTAAATAGCAATCTAATTTGAGTGGTCTTGTTTCATAAGATATGCATATATAGACTGCATGCTCTTGAAAGACAATATTCCCTCGAGATGTATTCAGTCTAAGATGCATAGACTGTATATGGCTGCTTCATTGGTGAAAGTTATCACTGTCGTACTGATGATCCTTAATATGGGCAAAACAGCTGTGTGTGGCTGATATCTGTGAATTTACATACACAAGCGGTATTAAAAGTTCAGATTGTTCCACCCCCTACTGTCATGATACCGCGAGAATTCATTAATATTCATTCCCATGATTCACAGCTAGGAGCTACCAAACAGGCGAGATGGGACAAGTGACATCTGATTTCTGGTCACTTCTTTTTAAGTTCTTATGAATGCAAACTGAATGCAATTATATTGACTGAAGACAAACTATTCAGTCAATATAATTCTGAAATGTGTTCCTTGTTAGATATGTGTTGTTCAGTTTGTAGTGTTTTTACAAAGAGGGTTAATTTCTTTGGCCTGATTAGGTATCTCGGATGCAAGCAGTGGATCTGTACTGTTGTGGACACTGACAGTTTGTCCATCTGTCTTCATGTCTGTTCTCCTCCTGGTATTTCTGTGCAGAAGAAATGCACCTATAGGTAAGACTAAATTTAATACCTTTATGTATAATTCCTGCTTATTGTTTGCTTGGTTTGGGAGAAGAAAGATATTCACTTATTCCACAATTGTTTCTCGGATGTGTTTGTTTTTATTAATATAATTGTATTAAAATGAATTAACATGACATGAAGCAGGTTTGCCCCACATTTCAGATTCAAGTGTAGATAAATTCAGTTCATTCTCTTATAGGTTGTGTCTCTGTTGTTACCAAATTCTTTCTATTAGATACATTTTCTGAATAAATAAATTCAAAACAATAAAAATGAATATTAGTCATGTAAGTTATTGAAGATTACATGTGAACAGTGGGCATTATCAGATCAAGCCACTTGCAATTTTCTGCACCAGACAAACATAATTTCACAATAAGAACAGTCTTCATCCCTCATTCAACAGTTTTTCCAGAGGATGAGATTAAAAATATAGATTGAAAAGATATATACAGTAAAAACCTTCAGTAACAAAGAAAAGTAGTCAGGAATCAATACAAGTTGTTTTCATTAGAAAAAATGACAAAAACGTCCAAAGTAAACACAGTTTCTGTCATGCCAACTGGGGGAATTTCTTTTAAAATGTTATTTGAGGACTCTCTGTTTTTTTTCTTCTTCAGGAAACAGTTCCTCTGTGGCACACAGCTGTGGATCTTCAGGGAGATTCACACCAGAGGTACTGTGTACTCTGTCACAGTTCGCTGTTTTTGCTCCTCTGGGTCTTTCAGTATTGCAGCAATTACAGGGAGACATGTTAGCATTTCTTTCAAAGTTAAAAACGACCTACTGGGACATGTATTAATGTCAAGATTAGTGGTTGTACAAATATGAGTTTATGTATTTACTGTTTTTAAAATGTTAATTTTTCAGGTATGTTCTGAATAGTTCTGATT